TTTATTTCAAATATATTAATCTATTCAATTAATTGTAGGAACTGGTATTAATCTTTTTATTACCATAATTCATTTTAACTGTATTCTTCATTTTATTAAGTATAATTCATATTCTTATCATAACTTTCCATTTTCACATTTATTCCAATTATTTCTATATGATTTAACAGTAATCCTTGAGGGGAAAAAAACAATTAAAAAAGAAATATCAGATCCAATCTTTTCACTTTAAAAATTTTCACTTTTATGTATCACAATATATTACCTTGCAGAATCTCCTTTCCAATTCTTCATTTACTCATTATCTCTAAGTCTCCTAACTGTATAATTTTTTTCATTTTTATTCGCTTTCTATATCCCCTTATTTTTTGGTCCTTTCTCTTATTCCCCCCTTTCCTTTATTTTTTTCTCTCCATTTCTTTCTTACTCCATTTTGATCCCCCCCCTCTCTTGAGCTTTCTTCTATAATCCCCTTTTCTGCTGTTTCCTTTTTCTTTGTTTGACTTTTCAAACAATTCCCTCTTTAGTTATCTCCTCAAACCTCCAGATTTTATTTTTCATTCTTTTCCCCCTCGTTTTTAATGTTCACTGTTCCATTTGTTAGTTAAGGCTTCTTCTTTGGTCAACTGCTCCCCTTCTGCTTCTCTTTGTTCTTCTTTGTTCTCCAACATCACCATTTCTAATTTATTTAAAACAATACTGCACAATTCCATTCTTTCATGTAACATTTCCTTTATATTTCTTTTTCCAATTTTATTTCCAAACAAAGTTCTGCCATTTTTGTGCTCTTCTTTTAATTTTTACTTATCCCTTTCTTTAATATTTAAGTCTAATCCAATTATCCAGTAATTAAATTCAACCAGCGTCTTTGGTGTTTATTTCCAAAAATCAATTTCTGTTAGTTCCTCTTTAAGTTTTTTCCAAGGTCACCAAATAATCCAATGTCCATAAGTTTCTATTTCTAAGTTCCTTCTATTAGATCCTTAATTTTTTCCAAAGTCACCAGGTAATTCCAGGGTAGTTTCTTTACACTTTTTTTTAATCTTTATTTTCACTTTTCAGGGTTTCTTTGTTATTGTAACAAAGTTCCTCTTATTTTGTATCAAGTTCCAGTTTTAAAAGAACCAAGACTTTTTAAAGAGTCATTGAAATTTTTCCTTTACCATCAGGTGGCGCTCTCTGTTATGTCCAAATTATACCCTTTCTTTCAACTTTCTTTTCCCTATTTAGGGCTTTTAAATTTCAATAATTCAGTAAATATTATTTCTTTTTAACACATTCAAGTTCAGCATTTAATTATGTCTGTTTGGTGTCAAAATCATATATTTATCCAATTTAAGCAAATATTTTCTTCTAGCTTCCTCCTTTTCAATTTAGCTCTTTTCAAAGTTCAAAGCCTCTTTCATTTGTTTCCACCTTTCTTTTCTCTCTCTCTGGTCACTGCTTTAGTCTTTCTTAAAAATTTCTTTATATCTTAATTCCGGGGTACCTTAATATCCATATATTGTGCCTGGTTTGCCTGGTCTCCACACTGTCCACTGCTTCACCGCTACAGCACAATCTTGTGTCCTGGTTCGCTTTCCATCTTCAGGGTGACCATTTTAGACCACCGTTACAGCCCGTCTTCGGAGGGAGTATACCTAGCCAGGGAGGGGAGATGCGGCTCCTCTCAACCCGACTGGCGGTCTCCCCCTTTTCCAGGGTGATTCTGGCTCCGTTCTGAGCCTCCAACGGGGAGAGCACGGATAGAAGCCGCGCACAATCATGGAATTCGATCCATCCACAATGGAAATGCCACCAGAAGTCTGCCAAAATTGTTCTTATCTCTGTTTGGGGCATATATGAATGCATGTGATTAAAATTTTGCTTTCTTTTCTTATTTTTAAGATTCGAATCCTTTAATTATTTAATTACTTCAAAACTTTCCAGGAAAGTGATTTGCAATATATAATTACTCTTTTTTTTCTTTTTCTTTTTCAAGATAGTATATATTCTTGACATAATTTTTCTCTTTTAATATGTTGACATTTTCTTGTTTTATGAATGTCTCTTGTAAAAAGATCAATGTTGGTTTTGTGTGTTTCAAGCTTGTTGGGGAAAAAATCTTGGGTTTGAATCTAGGCTGGGTAATTTTAAAGAACACACAGGACAAGTTGCATGGAGCAGAGTAGAGTTTATTTCAACAGTATATGGTGCAGTACAGCAATCAAAAAGAAGACTACACAGTCAGAATGCTATGAGTATTTATAGTAACAATACACCTTGATCGTGAGATGTTATTAGAAATATAAATTGAGGTGTACGTGTCAGGGAGACATGTGAAGACACTCTGCAGGGTATGTTTATCAAAGATGTCTAATCTCTTCCTTGGTGAGTTTTATTGGGGGTGGGGATGACATTGGAGAGCAACATTGTGATTTAGGAAATTTCCGTATCTTTGAGGGGGACCTTGATTCCTGATTGATTTGGCAGCATTAGCTGGCTTCAGTTTTGGCACTTTGTCAGTTTCAGCCTCCATAAAATGAAGTGGCTTTAAGTGATTTTTATAAATTTGTATATGGGTAAGCCCCTCCATGTGGATAATTGTGGGGGAGGGACTTTTGTGTTCTGTTAAGATTGTGAGTTATTCTGGAAGTATACCACCAGAAGGGTCACATAATCAAGACAGGTTGTCAAGTGCCAGGGAAATCAGGAAATTCAGGCAGTTCAAATGGTATAAAGATTTATTGCAAGTTTAAGCTCTCTACAAGAATCTAAACCACTAACAGTCAAAGCTAATTTGTGGTAGATAAAAGTCAATGGAATTCAAGGTGGGCTGGACTTAGATTCTTGTGGGCACGAAGAGACTCATGACTCACAATACTCTTCCTCAGCCTGGTCATCTTCTACATAAGGTCTCAACTTAAATGCCAGACTAAGAGTATCCACAACCCATTAACATGATGAGCCAACAAAAAAAAGAATCCCTTACTGGATGTTGCCTGAGTTAACAAGGACCATGGCAGTTGGTGTCCCTGGGCAGCTGTCAAAAAGTGAGTTACGGGATTGGGGAAAGATCAGGTGAACCACTCCACAAAAATCCCCAAGAAAATGTTATGAAATGGGTCTCAAACATGTCAGATGGAGTGCCCAAAGACAGGACAACAGGAATTCTACTTGCAGAGGCAGCCAGTGGCAAAAGCAAATGTCTGTGTTGTACAGAAAAACATTGGCTAGTCACATGGAATATCAGAGAAATGAATTAGGGTAAATTAGGTATTGTTGAACAAGAGATGATCGGGTTTGAAATTGATCTCCTTGGTGTCAGTGAGCTACTGTGTTTAGATAATAGCCTTTTCCAGTCAGAGGATTTCATAGTCTATTATCCAGGGTATGATATCAGGAAAACAAATAGTCTTTATTATAAGCAGTAAACCTGCTGGAGTACTGGAAAGCTTCTCAACTATCAATGACTGAGTTATGACCATTAGAATTCATGCCAAGGCGCTCAACATCACAGTTATCCAAGTCTATGCCCCAATGACTGCAGCAACAGAGCTTGAAATAGAGGGCTTTTCTGCCATGGTCCAAGCAACTCTGAAACAAGTGCCAAAAAGACATTTGTTTACATTTTGGGAGATTTCAAAGCAAAAGTTGATAAACAAGCAGAGACAGGCATCACTGATCATTTTCGACTAGGTGAGAGTAACGATGCAGATGACAATCTCACATAATTTTGCCAAGAAAACTGATTTAGAATTATGAATACATGGTTCAAACAGCACAAGTGCTGCTTATACACTTGTACCTCAGCGAATGAGCTTCAACATAATCAGATAGACTATGTCTTATGCATTCATCAATGGCCCAGTTCAGTCCTTGCTGTTAAGACATATTCAAATGCTGATTGTGGCTCAGATCATGAATGTTAGTGGCAAAGATTAAAGTCAAACTATGCACTATCAAAAAGGCAGTGCTCCAAAGAAATTTGATGTCACCAAAATTCCTACCACATATATAATTGAAAAATAGGTTTGAACTACTGGACATTGCTGAGAAAATGCCTGATAAACTGTGGCAGAAAATTCAATTGACTCTTATTGGAATTGCACACCAACACATACAAGAAGTGAGAGAAAAAGTGTAAGTGGCTCTCAGATGAAACCATCAAAATAATTGAGCAAAGACAAGCAGCCAGGCAGCAAACAAATGGGAAGAAGCAAGAAGATTGAATGCAGCTTTCCAAAGGGCAGGTGTAATGACTTTGCTCTGACCTATAGTGTGTGTTTTAGAAGTACTGGATAATTCTGCTCAATAACCAAAAGCCTCTTTTCTGATGTTCCTTAAGTTTGTATCTTATCACCGATGCTTTTAAATGTGTAAAAGTACAGAACAATTTTGATATCCAAACTCCCTATTCTATCAAAGTATTGGAAAGGAAGAATGTTTCACTTGTTATTTTAACAATTAATATTGCATATTTGTAATAAATATTTGCTTTAGCACATAAAGCATTAGTGTCTTTCTTTAGCTAAGAAACCTGCCTTGTCAATTGGCAAATGCCCAGCTTAGACTTGCAAGTAATCAGAATTCCTTACATCTGTTTTTCACTCTTGGTTCGTACTATCCTGTAACACTGCTCTATACTATTTATTCTAATAAACCATTCTGGCTGTTATAAGCTTTTATCCCTTATTTCATTCCAGATATTTAAAATCCAGAGAATAGATATCACCTAATTAGTTCTCAGGACATGTACTTTTTCCACAGTTTTTTTTTGTTTTAGAAAAAGATTGATTTTTTAAAAATCTTACCTGAATGGTTTTGAGAACTCATTGCTAGCAGAATCTAATCTCTTTAATTAAGTATGACAAAGGCTGGCTTCCACATAGACAATAATATTGAAGAGCTTCAGTATTCCAGAACATAGAAATTATATCCAGGAAGCAGATTCATGGTCATTAGATAAACTCTCAGTCAGAAAAACATTTTATTCTGTAAAGCAATACAATCCAGAATAGTAGTAGATTGTTCCAGTTGTTTTCAAAATGTATACCTGTAAAAAAAAAAGTCTTATAAATGTGAATGCTTGCACAAAGAAATATTTGTATTTAAGAAGGAATGCCACAATAGACAAAGTATAAAGATGATACCTATAATCAGATAGAAAGTACCTGCATCTCATCCTATAAATTCTACTTTTCTTTTGCTTTTGCTCTTTCAAAATATGCCATACTTTAATTACTCTCCCTCAAAATAAGGAAGAGCAGCATTGAAAGGGCCTCCCACTAGCCAATAATTTATTTCAATGCTGTATTTTTTTTGTATTTTGTTACATTTCTTCCTGTTCAAAACAAAACAAATTATAATTAAATGCCTAGCCTTCCTTAATCTGTAACCTTCAGATTATTATTATCACTAGTCACCAAGATACCAAATTGAAGAAAATAGTTTTTCTAAGGTAATATTTTGAAGAAAACTATTTGTCCTGGGGAAAAAAAGTTATTTTAGGTTTTATTTAACATTAATTATTGGCATAATGATATGGCAGTACATACACATCAACTAGATAATGGCTTCACACATTAATTACACTGTGCCACTGTGCATTGCTCTTCCACAAAGTACATACTAGTTACCACACAAACATCCCTGTGATGCAGACATTTTAAAAAGTATTCTTCTAGTTAACTCTGTACCTTCAGATTTCATAGTCTCATAGAGATAGAATTACAAAAAGAACCACAAAAGGAACATAAAATCAAATGGAATTAATAAAACATAAGCTGAATTTAATAAAGAAGAACTATCACAAAAAATTAAAAGTGCTAAACAAAATTTCTTTGAAAATGCAAATAAATCAGGAAGATGGTTGGCATACAAATTGAAAAAGGAGAAAGAAACAAAATTGATAGACCAATTAATGGATGATGAAGGAATTCTTCACCATCAAAATGATAAAAAGAAAATGATTCAAAATTACTACAAAAAACTACATGATCACGAGACAATTTCAGAAGATAAAAGAAAACAATATTTAGAAAAAGTGGAATTACCTAAAGTACCTGAAACAGTGAAAGCAATGTTAGGTGAACGAATAACAATGATGGAACTAACAAAAGTGATTAAGAGACCAAAGAATGGCAAAACACCAGGTCTGGATGAACAACGAGCAGAACTATACAAAGACTTACAAAATATTTTAAGTATTCCAGTGTTGGAAGTGTTCAATGAACTATTATTAGAAGCGAAAGTACCAAACTCATGGATGGAAACATATATTACTCTCATGATGAAAGAAGACTCAGACCTACAACAGATAAAAATCTACAAGCCGATATCTTTATTGAATGCTGATTATAAAATATTTGCTTCAATAATTGCAGAAAGACTGACTTCCGGCGAGGCCTTTCTTGCGGACAGACCAGAGACTGCAATCGTGCACGGCTTTGATCCATGTTCTCGCGTCGGAGGGCCCCAAGCATCTGCTTTTGGGGCCAGAACCACCCTGTAGGGGTGGTGAAGAAGGGGGAGACTGCCAGCTGGGTTGAGGGGAGCCGCATCTCCCCTCCCTGGCTAGGCATACTTCTCTCAGAAGACGGGCTGTAGTGGTGGTCAAATATGGCCACCCTGAAGAGAAAGAGCTAACCGGGACAAAGGTTGTGCTGGAGCGATGAAGAAGAGGACAGCATGAAAACTGGGCTAACCAGGCACAATATCTGGACAAAAAGGTACCCCGGAATTAAGATTCTAAGAAACTTAAGAAAGATAGTAAAAGCAGTGGCCAGAGGAAGGGGGGGGGAGGAATTGACAGGTGAAAGTGAGTTTGAAAGGAGGAAGCCAGAAGAAAATACCTATTCAAATTGGATGAATATATGGTTTTGGCACTAAATAAGCATAAAGCTGAACTTGAGCATGTCAAAAAAAACAATAACAGTAACATTGAATCTTTGAAATTTAAAAGTCCTAAATAGAGAAGTGGGTGGGGAAAGGGCGGAATTTGGATATAACAGAGAGTGCCAGCTAGTGGTAAAGTAAAATTTTTGTGACTCTTTATAAAAATGCCTGGCTCTTTTTTTTTTTTTTTTTAAACAAGTTTTATTTTCAAGACAAACAATACATAGATACACATAAAACAAAACATAAAAGCATAAAAAAATCTCTTATCTGAAAGTTGCTTAGTCCCGGGTTAAAACTCTTGGTACAGACACAAATTCAAATTCATATTCATTTTACATACCATTTCATATCTTATTAACATTTTCAGTTTTCTATATGTCTTCTCCTCTCCTTTAAATTTTCTCAATTTTATTTTATTTTATTTATCTCCTCTCAATTCATATCATAATATTTATTATTCTTTGTCTGTTCTATTCCAGCCAGCCCTTTATTTCCCTTCTTTAAAAAAAAGAAAAAACTTCTCCTGTACACTATATGGAGTATGATGCCTTTATCTCTTTCCCCTACATTTATAATACTTAATATAAAACACATGACATATATTGGGATTCTGTCTGGTACATTCTAAAATTATACTATATTATCAAAAATAATACAAATCTATTCATTAGTATTAATATTCATTCATATCTTAAACATTTAACTCATTACTTTTCAATTAAATCACATACTTTTATGGGAGCCCTATTTTCCATCGTTATATATTATATCCCTCATCATATATTATAGCTCATTATTTCATTAAAAAGTACCTCCTTCTTCTACTTCAATTCTCATTTCACAAGAAATTTCGCTAGTATACCATATTCTAATCATTAATATTAACAATCATTTATATCTTAAACATTTTATCCATTTCGATTAAATATCATACCTTTGTGGGAACACTTATGCTTTTCAAAGATTACCCCCCCCCCCACATCACAATCTTAAATCATGTTTCGTTACAGTACTCCCTTTTCTTAACCAAAAATTTCACTAATTTATGTTAAATATTTTATCACATTTTAGGTTACATATTGTTTCTAATTTTCTATGTTTACTTCTAAATACAAGTATAAAAATGCAGTCTTATGTACCTTTCTAGAATCCCTTTAACCATAAAGCTTATCCATTATCTCTAAAAAAAATTTGCTTCTTAACATCTTGCTCCCCACCATTAGGACTTCTCATCCCTTCCTTTCTTTCTTGTTTCTTCTTCTCCTTGTCCTCTTTAACCCCTTGTCTCTCCACCTCCCTTTTATTCTGCTTTCCCCCTTTCTGTTGTTTCTTAACATAATGTCCCCTTTTCACCTTATTCTTCTCTTTTTGGGCTATTTTTCCAGATCTTAAAGACCTTTTTCCCTTTTTCTCTTGCTTTTTCTCTTCTCCAGTCAAAGTCATTTGTTCATCAAAGATGGCTTCTCCTTCTTCTTTGTCCCTTCATCCTCATTCTGCTTCACATAAGTATAAACCGCCATTTCTAAGTATTGAAAAATAGTGCCAAGACCATCTTCCCCTCCTTGTTTTTCTCTTTCAAATTTTTGATATATAAGTTCCAATTCATCCATAGATGATGCCATTGTGTAGAGAAAGTTTTTCCAACCACCCAGATGATTTAATCAGAAGTAATTTCCAAAGGTTCCAAAGTCACCAAACAATCCAAACAGACTATTTCTTTTAGATACCTTCTTCTTCTTCACTTTCTCTTTCTGGGGTTAAAGTAATCACAAATCCTTTTCAAATATATTTTTTGGAAGTTTTTAAACTCTTTGTAATTCTAGGCAATCTTCTCCTTATTTTCAAATTTTGCTCTAATTCTTTTTTTCACTCTCCCTTCCCACTCACAGCCAAAAAGGTTTTTTTTTCTTTTCCACTGTCACTTTAGGAAGGAGAGTAGAACAAAGAAAAAACTTTCCCCTTTAGAATATTCGCAGCTTAAAACTCTCACAGGGAACAATATATACTTAGCAGCCTTCAAGATTCCAGGTCACTTTCTCCCGTCTTGTCCCGGTTAGAAGCAACTTTCACTTTTCTTTCAGCTTCCTCCCTCCTGCACCTGCTTGTCCGGCTGCAGCTTTCTTCGTGGCGGCCATTGCTGACCGCCATTCCTCCGCCTCGGGAAAAGGGGGTTTAGCCGGCTGGGGAGGGGGTTTGCAACACCCCCAAACCCCTTGCCGGATCCCCCCTGTCTTCAGCTGCCTCTGCGGGGCAGCTATATCCCCCAGATCCAAATGGATCGGGGGAACCTTGGCGGTGAACGCAGCAGGGATCGCGCGGTCGCGAATCCCTGCCGCCGCCGAAAGGTTGCAAATCGGAAGTTTCAAAATGCCTGGCTCTTTTAAAAGTGGAATTTGATACAAAATAAGAGAAACTTTGTTACAATAAAATAGAAACTTTGGAAAGTGGAAATACAGAGCATCAAAATAAAAGAAAGAAGCATGAAGAAATTACTCTGGGACCGTTTGGTGATCTTGGGATAAACTTAAATTTATGGATCTTGAACTATTTGATGAATCTGGGAAAAACTTAAAGAGGGGTTAATAAAAGCTGATCGTTGGAAATAAATATCAAAGACACTGGTCGAATTAAATTACTAGACAATTGATTTGGACTTAAAAGAGTAAAGAAAAAGATGAAGAAAATATAATAGAAGTGCTTAAAAATGGCAGAACTTTTTTTGGAATTAAAAATGGAACTAAGAAACATAAAAGAAATGCTACATGAAAGAGGTGAATTGTGCTGTCTTGCCTTACAATCATTAGAAATGGCAATTCTGGAATATGAAGAACAATAAGGAGTGCCAGAAGGGGAGGAGTTGATTAAAGAAGAGGCCAGCTACAACAAACAACGAATATTAAAGTGAAGCAACGAATATTAAAGTGAAGGGGGAAAAGAATGGGAATTAAAACTTGGAGATTTAAGGAGGCAATTAAAAAGGGGAATGTTTTGAAAGCCAAATAAAGTAAAAGGAAACAGCAGAAAAGGGAATTATAGAAGAAAGTTTTAAAGAGGGAGGGGGATAAAAGCTGGAGTAAAAAAGGAGGGAAAAAATGAAGGAAAAAAGAAGTAATACGGAAAAAAACTAGGAAGTAAAGAGACATGGAAATCGAACAA